CGATGAGCAGCCCCTCGCCGCGGCCGTCCCAGCGGATCGAGCGGTACCGGGGGCTGTTCACCAACCGCCACAGTTTGGCGGGGAAGTTGTTGGGGTTGATGGGGGTGGAGAGCAGTGCCTCCTCCATCGCCCCCGCCCGGGCCTGGGCCTCGCCCCGCCGAGCCTGGCTCTCCCACCCCGTTCTCGATCCCCCCGGCCTTCGCTTCGCCCTGCCCCCTCCTGCCAGCGCCCCACCGCCGCGGACCTGGGGACCGTTGGTGCACGCACGAGCCCCTGCTGCGCCTTCCGACGCGGCCAATGGGGCCTCGAGTTCCCGCGCGCGGCCAGAAGCCACACAAACCGAGCGGAGCCGAGGGGAGCCGAGCGGAGCCGAGCTGCCCCTTCCGCCGCCTCGCGGCGGGCTGGAGCCCCAGCCGCTAGGGCGGGGCGGAGAAAGTCCCATTTTTAGCTTGGCATGCTAAAACCGCAGGTCTGGGGCTGGGGCTGGCTGCCCTCCGGCTAGTGTTAATGTCTGCAAAGAGATAAGTCCAGTTATGCACTTTGGAAGACTAGGATGTGTGCATTTCAGTGCAACCAGCGGGCGGGGATTTAGAATTCAGTAAGTGCACTTCTGCAGATACAAAGCCATCCTTAAGAACTAGAGGACTGACTGTATAATCTTAAATACTGACTGCTGAATTGCTTGTTTCGCCGAGAAAAATGGTGATGGTAATATACCAAGTTAACTTATTCACCTTTTAAGATAGTAACATTTTGCATATTACATTCTTTTATCCCAATCTCTAGCTCAAGATAAAGCAGAATGAAGTGCCTACCAACGTGGTATCAGAGAATAAACAGAGGTAGGATCCTGTGTACCGAATGTGCCAGATAGTAAAATTTTAGACATTATAGAGAAATACATCTCACAATAGGATAGAATTCTACAATATCCATCAGATTAAATCCCTATTGGTCAATAAATAAGAATATAACAAACTGCTGGTCTACCAAAAACATGGAAATGGTAAAGAAGGGATATGATTCAGTTTTATCTCATATTTTTTTAAAAAAAGTATATTTTCTTAGAAATAAATAAAAAGACCCAACAAAGCAGCACTAATATAGAGATTTTATTTAAATTGTATTGACTTTTTACAGCACATTGCATGTTTGTCACAACGCAACTGCACAGTTTGGATTTTTGGCCACATCATGTCACTTACACCCACAGAGCTCTGCAAGGAGTATTTAATGAATACATCTGAGCTGAGCGCTCAGTCTCTCTCCAAGGCCATGCAGTATGTTCACCGATAGGATAGTCCCTCGAAACAGCCAAAGTAGACAGATACAGTCTCCTCAAAAGTTACCAGTCTTAACTCCCCCAAAATTGGGCAGAGTGAGTGCAATGAAAGTTAATTAAAAAGCCACTCACAACTGGCAGTAAATTGTAATGATTAAGAAAATGCTTACAAGAGTTTTATATCAGAGACAAGGAATAATTTGTTACTTTTCAATGATCTCAGGAATTTCCTAGACACAAAATCTCCATTATTCAACTCCATTTAAATGGAAAAAAGTTCCGCTAGGCTGACCTAAATACGCCAAAACTTTTTAGGTTACATCCATGGCAAGTATAAAAGCACAGATGCTTCTCTGTAGGACTGAAGGAAGGTCAGGACAAATGACAATTCTTGTTCTAAATGCAGATAGATCCTACTTGTTTTCGAATGAATTTTTTTCTAGGAAGCAACATGAAAGTAGCAGACAGCTACCATCATTTTAAAACAGGATAAGCCTAAATGTAATTTACCTTTTTATACACCAACAAATTAAGGAAAATGTATAAAGGAATCCTAGTGTTTTCATTACAGATCCAAGGAGACTGTATCTGTCCCAACCACCACACATGGCTATATCACTGTATCTTTTGGTTAAGTGCCACTGGTACATAGTAAGATGAAAATCAAAACAAAACAAAACAAAAAAAAACAATGTTTGGTCCAAATGGACACATTTTCTCTCCCAATTTTGGTATCAAGGCTTATTCTCTTCTGTTTGGGTTCCATTGTTAAGTGCACAGAAATAGACAGCAGCATTTGTACTGAAACCCTCACATACCAAACAGCATATTCTAGGAGGTAAAAACCAAACACTAAATTCTACCCTCAAGGTGTCAAGTGTTCAGGATAAGAAGCAGTGTGACCCAGAGGAAGCAGCAGCCAAGGGGAAGACAACATGAGGGAAGTGGGCAATGGAACAACAACAAAAACAAAAATCCAACAAACAAAAAAACCAACATTGTTTTATTTTCATGCCAGGAGAGGATCAAGGTGGAGCTCCTGTGTTAGCACCAGGACAACTAGGAAAAGTCAGGCGCAAGGGTAGGGCACAATCAGCAAATATTTCACAAGGATAATTTCTGCTTTTCCCTTCTCATTCTTCATAGTGCATACCTCAAGAGCTGCCGCTGAGTTAACAGACTACTGCCTTCACAGCTCGAAATAACTGCTTTTTGCCAAGACTGAACATCAGCAGAGTTTCCTCTACTCCCAGCAATGTCTCACTCCCTAGAATTGTCCCCCTTAACTGAATGTTCACTGATAATGGCCGATGAGCCAAGTGAAAATACAGCAAACCCCCCACTTGCTGAACCAGTCTTTAAACCAAACTCCACAGAAAGACAGAACTAATGTAACTAGAGGGTGTGCCTCTAAAGACTGAGCCTTCATGCACAGACACAGAGCACAGAGGTACAGGGTATAATTCATTTCAAATAGGATAGGAATTCCTATCTTATATACTATAATCTGCTTTTTTTCAAGGTGGAGGAGAGATGGGTCTGGTTATCACTTGGAGTTTGGTTATACATATGCCTTTCTATTGCTGTTTGGGGCACATATCATCAGGCAGTATCTAAGAAATTATCATCTTATGACTTCCAGGAGAAAGAAGCTGGAGTCACCAACTCAACATTAAGCTTCCAGACTGGGTCTGGATCAGGACTGTTACCCCAAGGGAACAGGACCTCCTGCCAAAATGGAATTCCACTGCTCCAGTCTCATGGTACCAAGGAGGATGTCTCAAGATGGTTATCTTTGAGCTCTGTGATTTCATGAGCCATACCAAGGAACCTTCAAAACTACACCGGAAGCAGATTCTCCCTTCAAACCTGCTAAAATTGGACAGGTCATCTCCTCTGGCATTCAACTGGAAGCTGTAGCGATCGGTTTCTTCAGGTGTTGGCTCATGAGTTCCCTGGCACGAGATACTTGGATGTGCTCATAACATGAGTTACAGACGAGAACTGGGTCGTAGAGCTGTTGATCAGGAATGGGCAACTTCAAGTGGCAGCAGCCAGCACAAAATACATTCCCACAATTTCTGCCAAAACACAAAGAAGGAAGAGTTAATCAGGAATGCCAATATGTTGAGGATGGATGATAATCTAAAAGACTTTGAGTAAATACAGAGAAAAAGTGGAAGAGAACAAAAATCATTCCTAGAAAGTGGTCTCCATTTTCAGATAACTTCATCCACATATATGCATATGTATGCTTTATAAGCAGTACCAAATCATGCATAACATGATTACCTGCAATGGTGTCTTCGTTTGGCCAACCAAAATTCACAGTCACAGTTATAGCAATGTGATGCCATATGGTCTGGAACCCAGCGAGTCACCTAACAGAAAGCACAAGGAGAAATTTTGGGACCTTGTCACCAAAGGGGAAGAAAAACACTGCAAAAAGGAAAGCATCCAGAAGGAAATGACAAGATCTGTCTTTATAGCTGGTCACCTCTAGCCTATAAAGATGGCATTCATCTGAGGGAAAGTTCAGTCTACAGCACATTCATGCATCTCTTGACACTAAAACTCACTGGCTCACAAATATTGGCCTAGACATACCTCAGTTTCTTTCTTATCAACGGGTTCCCAGCTTGCTTCTGAAAGGCAGTCTTCACTGTGATCAGAGCCAAAATCTTCTGTATCACTGCCATCTGACTCCTTCAAACACGTCTGAAAAAAAAGCAAAGATATCGACACCATTACTAACATGTGCCAGGCACTGTTCTAAGTATATTACATGCATGAACTTATCTAATTCCTTACCCCAACTGTAATGATTTATACTACTACTACCATTTTACAAATAAGTCATAGAGATAGTTAAGAGCTAATAAGTAATAAACTGGGATTTGAAAATAGTGTTCTGATTTCATATCCATGCTCTTAATCATATGCTAAATCACAGTGCATAAAGATTATTTCTCATTTTGTTCTAAACCAAGGGTTTACGACTACAGCCCACAGGTCAAATTTAGCCCACTGTTTTAGTAAATCGAATTTTACTAGAAGAAAGCTATTTACTCAATTCATTCATGTGTTGTCTATGGCTGCTTTTGTGCTCCAACAGCAGGTCCGAGTAGCTGCAACAGCCTATACATCCCATAGGGCCAACGTATTTACTCTGGTCCTTTACCAAAAAGTTTGCTGATTCCTGTTCTAAACCACCACCCTGAATAGTAAGAAGTTGTTAGCCCCTGACAATCCCACTAGCAGAGAATGGAGAAAGAGAAGTGCCTGTGTAGATGACAAGACAGTATGGGCTTCTCCCTGGGGACTGCTGTGCCACAGCCCAAGGCCTCCCAATACAGCAAAGTATGGACGGCCCTCATCATCTCACCTGGAATATTCCAAAACATCCTAACCAGTCTCCCAGCCTGGGTTTCAACTGCCTCATCTACTTGACACAATTGCTAGAGTACTATTCCTAAAACACACATCTGATTGGGTTACTCTCTGGTCCAAAATTTTATTGTCCTGAGGGTAAATCCCTAAGAAGGGAGCTCAGGTTGATATTTTGAGTCCCCACCTACTTATCCACCTACTTATCACCTCCTACCACACTAACCAACCTCATGATCCCAGCACACGTATGCCTGTACCTGTGTATGTCTATACATACCACTGGCGTACCTACTGCCTCCATGCTTTATACTACCCAGCTAAATATGACACATTCTTTAGCACTGAGCTCAATTATTATTTTCTTAAGAAACTTTTCACTTTACCTAAGTCCCTCAGGCTTCACCCAATCTTAACAGTTAAGAAATCGATTCTAATTGTTCGGCTCTCCCAACAGACTTGAGCTCCTTGAGAGCAGGGACTATGTCTTTAATCCTAAAGCCCAACCAACTAACTCAGTGGCACACGCAACTACCCAGTGAATGGACACTGAACTCATGGACGGTGGAAGGACAGACTAAATGAGTAAAATACTGAATACTTACAAAATCATCCTCATAGTCCATAGGGGGTTCTGCTGGAGGGGCACAGCAGTGACGGATATCCAGTCTCATCTGAAGCTCACGCACCTGTCGACGTAGCTGCTCTACCTCTTGCTTGTACCCAGCTTCAATTTGCCGTAATCTATGCTGGATAACATCCGTGGGAAAGGGGAGTCCATCATCATCTAGGTAGAGGGGAGGCACTGGAGAAGGGCAGCTCAGTGGAATAGGCTTTATGCTGGAAACCTGCTTTGGGTGACCAGATAACCACATCCTGTTGCTTTTTCCTCCTGGACCAGTACAGTGTCCATTGGAATGACTAGAACAAACAGGAGACTTCACACCTTCTCTCTGAGCCCACTGACCCCCAAAGCAGGGCCCTGGTGCCCTCATCTGCTTACTGCTTGACCTCTTGCTACAACAGCCATAGGAAAGTAATCGCCGAGGGGTGGTCTCCCCACTCGGGAATGAAGTCACCATCCCTTGGAAGCTGTCCCAGTTGGACCCTAAAAAAGAAAATTCGCTGATCTGGCTTTGAGAAATTGGTTTACGGACCAATTCCAATGGTACTTTCCCAAAGCGAAGGTTTTCCAATACCTGACCATTCCTATTAGTCACTCTTTTACCAGTGTCTTCTTCCCCACGAATCAGATCTGGCACAGAACTGAGCTGTTCCTGGTGGGAGATACTTGCCACAGACCCTGGTGGTTCTTGCCTGAGCATGTCAGTGCTTAGATGTGCAGGAGTTTGGCAGGTAGCATTCGGTGGCTTGCAAAGGGTGCCCAGATTGTGATCTGGAACACATCTGTAGGGTCTACCCAGCACAGATTCTAGCTGGGCCTGCTGGGGGGTGCCTGTAATGGCATCCTGGGAAGACTCAGGAAAATCACAAATTCCATCACACTTGTTAGAAACAATTTTAGAGAGTGCACTGACGGCATCTTTTTCAGGGTAATGTTCAGGTGGCTCTCCTGTGCCATCTAAAGTTCTACCCAGTTCATCCTGGGCAAGAGGGTCTGGAGCTGATGCCTGAGTCTCTGCCAGAACTTTGATCTCAGGATCCAAGGTGTTGCTCTTCATGTCCTGGGGCATTGTAGCATTAAGCAGTTTGTAACCTGAAGGACAGCTTTTATGACTCTTGAAAGGTTTATTGCTTAAATAGTCTTTCTGGCTGTTGGGAAGATGAGAAGGAAGACCCATTTCTCCCACAGTCTGTTGAGGACCTCCAATTCCAGATTCCACAAAGGCTGTCTCTGATCCCTCGGGATTGCTGTGCCAAGGCTCCAGACCTACTCTGACCTCCTGACAGTGGTTATTCAGATTAGGGTCACTGGATGTTCGAGTCAGGGGACTGCTTGTGTCACAGGCAGAAAGAAGATCATCCATAGACCTAGTTTTAGGTAATCTGGAATGATAAATACAACCCTTCCAAGTCAGGAAACTTAGAGCCACCTGTAGTATACAGAATCAGAATCAAAGGCAGAATACACAGAAATAATGACATTTAAGTTTATAAATTGCTAATGTTCATCTCAAAAAGTATATTCTTCAAAAAATGCTGAATATCCTGTCCTTATAATCCCGGAATCTATCCTCAGTTTTCACAATCCTCACAATCTCCCTGGGTGGTCTTAACCACTCCCATGGTTTCAATAATGTTCTGCGCTGATGTCTTCTAAGTATCTCTTGCAGCACTGACTACAACATGGAAGCTTCCCTAAGTTTGCATTCAAAGAGTTCTAAAGGCAGTTGTGTGCACCAACTGGGTAACAGACATGTTAAACAATGACTGCCCTCGTTTTTAATGAAATTCAAACAGCCTGAAACCAATGAATATGTCAGGGAAATCTGCCAGGAAACAGACTTGCTTGACTCCTATTTTTCTGATGCTTCAGTCAGTTCAGCTCATGCAGAAAAATCACCCAAAGATAGAGATATAGTATAGCTGATTTCTTTGTTTGGTTTTCGAAACTTACCATGTTTTAAAAAGATATTTGTATTTGGTGATGGGAAACCCAAGGGGATTGTAACTGAGATGGAAAAATGCACAAAAATATGTAAAAATAAACTAATATAACAATAATAATAATAAAAAGATACTTGTGTTTGATTTTATTTTTGTGATCAATATTGACATTTTGTGTGGTATGAAATTCCAGAAAAGACAAAAGCAGTGGTTATAATGACAGACTCTGTAGCCCTAGACAGGGCTTCTTGAATCCCAGCTTGGTAACTTTTGAGCTCTTTGTTTGTAGCTTTTTATTATGGAAATTTTCAGACATATAAAAGTAGAGAGAAGTATGAAGAATTGCCATGTACTCTCTACCCAGATCCAACATCAACAGCCTATCATCCTCCACACTGACTCCTATGGGCACAAAGGTTTAATCAGTAATGCTGGTTAGAGAATGCCTAGGAGTTTAGAACAAAGAAGAAAGAAGAGAGAAAAGAAAGAAACCATCCAGTTAATGATGGTCTACACAGACAAGGTAGGATTTGAGTTGGGTATAGAAGAATGTGCTGGACTAAACAGAGCAGAAAGAGGGCAGGGCATTTTTGATCTAGGAAAGGTAGAACTAAAGGCCAGCTGGATAAACTATTAGAGAAATCATTTTCCTTTAAAACTTTAGGCCATTCATTCCTCCAAATTCCACTGTCTAATCTGAACTACATACAGCACACCACCTCTTAGTTGTCACCTAATATTTCAATTCCAAAATGCCTATGTTTCTTCTTTCTCCCCAAACTATCTCATTTTTTTCAACTTTTCAACATCTTTATAATACTAATATCCTCCTGGTTTGTAAACAAAGAGATTTGGTTCTCTATACTTTTCACTTCTACCCTCCAACATTCAAGTCAACTGTTAACGACTTCTCAAAAATGTCTCTGAAGGTCCTCCCTGGTAGCACGGAGATTAAGTCTCATCACTGTGAAGCTATTTGCAGCACAAGTTCAATTCAGGCCAAGGAGCTAACCCATGAGGTGCAGCAGACCTCTCCTGTCCTGCTGGCTGCTCCCCTCAACAGTGTATTCAGTAGATCTGCCTGATCTACTGTCCACTCTGCTTCTGGTGCTTCCTCTCATCCCCACCCCCAGCACCTCTGGCCTACACCCCAGTTCTTGTATGCATAAATAAATAAATTTTTATTTAAAAATTATTTCTATATGAGATGTTGAGAGTGTGGCGATAGCTGTGTAGTGATAAACATCTGGAAAGAGACACACCACAATTTTAGGAGTGGACCCCCATCAGGACAAGGATCAGGGAGGGAGGAGTTTCATTTTCTACCTTTATGTTGTTTAGCTTAAAAAAAAAAAAAGGGACCATGTACTACTCTAATTTAACCAACCTCACCCTACTCTCTCTCCCCTAATATTCAGCAAAGATAATTTTTAATTTTAATGTCCCCCTTTAAAATCTGGCCTTTTTCTGCAGGAGTATTGTGAAGGCCATGGACCTTGTGGGAACCACTTCTCTCAGAGTTGGATGCTTCTGGAACCTAATGCTGGACCAAAAACAGCAAACTCCCATGTCCACAAAGCTTCCTGGAATAGTCCTTTCTGTTGCCTTCTCCTCTCCCCAGCTGGGGGATGTCACACAAGGTGACAGTTGCACTGGAAAGGAGGTAACCAACTTTATCTTGAGAACACACAGAGTGGACTCCAGCGACAAGCCTGGGCCAAATTTCTCTTTCAGCTGACTCAAGAAATTGCTTTTAAATACTTCATAAAAGAAAGATGCAAGAAGCAAAGCAGTTACTGCCTTCCTAGTAGAGAGAGAAGGGAGCAAAAAGGGCTCTACTTACCTGTCTAAAGAGCGGCCAGAGAACTCCTGGCTCTGAGCCGCTGGAGAAAGGTAAAGATCCATGTTCTCCTCCCCAAGTGTGCAAGGAGATGATGCTGGCAAATAAACAGCCGTCCAGAGGTGCAGGGCCCGGACATGACACACAGGATGCAGAACCTAAAAGTAGCCCCACATTAGTGTCTTGTGAGATGTTCCTGGTCCCTCTCTCCCCACAAGCCTTTGGGCCAATGTTCTCTCCACTGACTGGGCCTGTTCACACAATAAGGGTTCAGACTTACCATGTCTGAGCCAGGGGTGTAGAGGAAGTTATGAAAGTTCTTATTGCCAGCTCGCAGAAGTGCCCACACAGAGCAAGTCCGTTTGTAGATATTACGCTTTTCTCGCTCACAGGGGTTGTTGGCCAGGAATGTGCCGTAGAGGCAGGAGTATGTGTGCTGCACCAGTTTGACCTGGAAGGCAAGACAGCTTGCACCTCAGGGTCTTGGCAGCCACCACCCCTCCCACCCCCACCCCAGCCACGGGCTTTAAGACTTACCAGGAATGCTTCGTTAAACTCAAATAGGCAAGGGAACTGCTTGAGCAACTGATGAACAGAATCAAGCCATTGGAGGAACACTGGGCACTGCTCGTTTTGGTCCTCTGCATTCTCCTGGTGGCCACAGCGATCTCCAAACTTGTGTCCAAAATCCAGCCAGTCAGACTCCACTAACACTTGGAAGCCCTGCAATAAAGAGAATCTAAGCACTGGGGCTTTCTGGAAAGGCTACTGTGCTGCTCCCCAGAGGATTACTGACACAGGAGGTGGCAGCTTCAGAGCACCTAGAGAGGTGACACAGTCACCAAAGGCCTCTTCTGGAAACTCCTCAAGACAGATCCAGAGGGCCCAATACCTCCACGCAAACCCTCTCAATACCTCCAACGTCCTGTAATACGGATCCAGCAGTATTTTGGCGAGGGCTACGATCTGTGGTGTCCGGTCCCAGCCATCTGAGCAGTGAACCAACACAGGCCGGCCTTCCCGGTCCACTGTATTAGCCACAAGCACAGCTGCCTTTAGCATCACCGACAAGTGCTGCAGCCATTTGGTGCTCTCCAGTGCCGACAACCAGCTACACAGAGCAGAAATCAAAGACTGTCACAAGGGTGCTAAGGCTACCATAGTCTTTCCACGTCCCATAGTCAGGCACCTAAAAAAGGCCTTAGTGAGGGCAGAAGCCAAGAGGTCCACCACATGACCTTATTGCCAAGAGAAATCTAGCAGGAAGAGAGATCTAATAGGGAAGTCAGGACTTCGGGTGACCAGAAGACTCTTCGGGTCAAAAAGGAACTGGGAAGGAACTTCACATGCTCATTTAACCACTTTCTTCCCCATTTCCCTGTGTTCTCTGAACGGCACACTGACCCAAACAAAAGGAACAAAATGTCCTGCAGCCAAGCAGAAGTGTTGGCCGAAAGTAGAAACATTTTAGTACAGGCCTGCTGCAGCCAGGCCCTCAGGCCTCCTGTACGTCCACACTTCCCATGGCCCCAGCTAATCTTCCAAGAACAAGGAGTACTAGGGGAGGAAGGATGGAATCGGAACAAGAAACACCTACTTGCTGGGATCTGGCATCTGACTACACACAGCCCGGAGATACTGGAAGCTGTTCCGGATAGCGTGGATATTAGCCATTCCCATGAACACGACCTCGCAGTTGGGGTAGTACTCTATTGATGTGGAAGAGGAGGGCAGAGCATGAGAGCATGTCCTGAAAACAGGCATCCAGGACAGAAGTGGTCCCAGAAGCACAGCTTCCCTGGTAGGGCAGAACACCCCAGGATGGGGCCTAAATATACTCTGGACCGCTGAATCACCCTTTTATGTCTGGCAGCTCTGGTGCCACACTAAAGTTAGCAGTAAATAATACTAATAACAAATGATAGCCATAGGGATACTAGTAATGACAATATATAATATATTCTCAACATATTAACTGCTCTATTCTATGCCAGTGATTTTATATATGTGATCTCTAATTATCCCAACAATCTGAAAGGACATATCATCCCCACTTTATAGGTAAGAAAATAAAATGTAAACAGCTTGAGCAACCTAAGTCAGAGCAGCATCCTGATCACAAGCCAGATTTGTCTGGCTCTTCCCACTCTACCAGGTGCTCCCAGCGCCCTCCTCACCACACTCAGACACAGGGAGGACAGCAATACCTTCACATTCACAACCGCCACCCTTGGCCCGGTTAGCCACTGCCGCTGTGTAGGATCGAGCGTCCAGAATCAGCAGCTTCTGAGGTGCTGCTGTGCTCTCCACTCCAGAACACGTTGTCAGGGAGGAATCTAAATATACAGCAGGGAGACCTTAGTCAGCCAGTCAAGCAGCCTCACCCTGGCCCTAGGCACACTCTCAGAAGAGATGAACATGCACCTAGAGCCTGCACACCCCACAGCCTCCCAAAAGACAGGGACTAGGTCCTCTTGTCATTTTCTTCCTATCCTCCCACTGAGACTCCCTGGGAGTCAGTGAGGACAAGGTGGGGACCTGATCCCTGGGTGGCCAGGACCTCCCAGACCTTACCGAAGTCAGTGTCACATGCCTCACTGGCATCACTATTCCCAGTGCTGAGGGAGCCCCCAGTGGTCTTTGTCCCTGGGTTCAGGGCACAAGCTTTAGCGATGGATGTGACCAGGTACTCATCATCAGCATTGCGCCATCCCCACCAGCTGATCTCAGGCTGGCTGCAGCGGGCAATAGCAGCCCCGTTGCGCAGGTGTCTGATGAAACAGAAGAAATCATGCCCTTGGCATTCGAAGCATCCAGAAACCTATAATGGAGACCCCAGTGGGCCAGACCAAGATCTCCAGAGTCAACTAGAGCAACCAGTTCATTCAGGTCATGCTAACAGCAAATAATATCTCTAGAAAGCTTCACAGTCTACAAAGCACATCCACACATTTTTGCAGATGGGCTCTGTAGTCCCAAGGTGACCATGACTCATCAAATCTGTATAGCACCTGCTCCAGGTACAGACACGCAGCAGGAAAACAAGTCTGAGGCCAGAACATGAATAACTCCAAACCTCACAGCCACTGTCTGCCTCATTCTATTTTGGCTATAATATTCTATACAGGGACTGCCAAACTTTTTCAGTAAAGAACCAGACAATAAATTTTTGGCTTCGTGAGTCAGCCAATTTCAGTAGCATTCTTCCTGCTTTTTAAAATTTTTTAATAATCCTTTAAAAAGGTGAAAACTATTCAGTTTACGGGGTATACTTCAAACAGGCCATAGGGTGAATTTGGTCCATGGGTCACTCCATTTTATGCGATAATTTTTACACACACACACACACACACACACACACACACACACACACTGTGAGACAGTTTTGTTTTAAAATTATTATTTCCCTACAGTGTGTCAATTCCCAGTCAACCAGGCTGGTTTCTGGCAAACTTCCATTTTTGATTCTTTCCTTATTGCATAAAACAATGGCCTCCCTACTTCTCGTCTTTCACTGCCTCACCTATATACAACCACAGGGATCCGTTTCCAGGAACGGAAGGAGGCCACGTTCTCCAGCTCTTTATCTGTGATCCACACAGGAACCAGCAGCTTCTGGGGGTAACTGGGGCACAATCTAGAAGAGACAGGGTCACCTGAGCTTAGTCTAAGACATGTGATAACAAGATCCCCAGGGATGGCCTTGTGGGAAGAAGAGCCAGGAACCCTCCCTCCTCAAAGAGCCAAAAGCTATGCCCACCGTGTGTGGAGGTCTAGACTAGTATTTTAGTCTCCCCCACCCATTCCCTCTTACTTGTAGTTGCTGTTGATATGGGACACTCTCCAGACATTCTGCAAGTCAAAGCCCATCCTCGAAAGCTCTGCCTCCTGCCGACATCGTATGTGTTCTCCTATAACACAACCCCATGCCTGTCAGCATTCCAAGTGCCACATCCAGGGGTCGAAGAGGAATGAGAATTAAGGTAAGACATTTCCCAAAGAGACAGCCTAGCCTCACCTGGCTGACACAGGTGTGTATGCTGGTCCTCCTCTGTCAGCCCCAGGCACCAGGCATGGTAGGCAAAGGCAAAGAGGTCCTCGGGCTTGGCGGGTCTTGCTGTGGCCCGGCTTAACCGTGAAAGCCACTCTTGGCACTGCTTGAAAGTAGAGAAGTGGCACCTACCAAGCAAAAAGCCACAGAGTGAGGCAATAAGTGGGTGTGCCTGGGGCCACAGGGTCAAAACCCAGTCACAGGGAGAGGAGGCTGCAGAGGAGGAGGTAAGGCGTCAGGACGCTGGGAAGGACCAGTGACAGTGGCCAATACCCAAGAGAGGTCATCTTTGTGACAACTGTCTTCCCAAGAACTCCTGTCCTTGTGACAAATTAATCCCCTCTACTGGCACCCTTCTATTTCTCATACAAAATCTAAGCACTACCACACATAATGGGGACCCGAATGGCTCTGATCCTGTGTCATTTCTCATGATCCCCAAGCGGAAACCCACCTTGGGCAGGAAGTCCGGCATCTCTCACTCCCATCACATTATTTCTCTGCTTTTGTTCCTTTAAGTCTCCATTAAGCCTAGCCACATCCAACTGATACTACGAACAGTTCCAGTCCCACTTTTTTCTTCAAGCCCTCCTACCTACATCATTCCACAGGCCCCTTTCTCTTACTGTTAATATGCCTGGAGTATTAAACACTAAGTTTTTCCCTCGCATACCGCCACATGTTAAATCTGCCTTCAGCAGCAGGACTTCAACCTCCTTAAAGGGTAAAACAATATGGATCCTCCTGAATACAACCAGGCTCAAAATTTGGCATCCTTTGAACAGCCACTGGAGTCATCTGGAACTCTTCTTTCTCTCTTATCTCAGCAAATGTCATCTCTACTGGCAAAAATCTGACTACTCTCACCATTTTGACTGCTACTACCTTAGACACACAGCCATGATCTGTCAGCAAGGTTACTACAATAGCCCACCTAGTCTCCCAGCTTCTGCCCTTGCTTTTGTCCCCACACCTCTTCCATCGATTCTCACTATAGCAGCCAGTGACTCTATTAAACATTAAACAGATGATATCACACCTTTGCTCAAAACCCACCAGTCGTTTCTCATTTCTTTCAAAAGTAATAGCCAGTCATTATGACAGTCTGACATCCCTTCTCACCTCTCCGATGTCCCACTACCTTCACCCACGCGCACTCCACTCCAACTACACTAGCCTCCCTGCCATTATTCCAAGGACCTACCCACCTCAGAGACTTTGCACTCACGGTTCCCTCTGTCTGGCACCCTCCTTTCCTCAAAATACCCACATGCCACCTTTTCCATGCAACCTTCTCTGATCAGTTTGTTTAATGCTACAACCTTCATCTCCAAAACAACTTCATATTCCCTTTTCCTGTTTTACTTTTTACCTTTATAAACTGACATTTAATATATTTTATTCATATGGTATTTATTTCTGGTATCTCCCCACTGAAATATAAGCTCCAGAGAGGCATAAAATTTTGTCTGTTTGTTCCCTGCTATATCCCCCATGCTTAAGACAGTCTGGCATAGAGAAGGGTACTCAGTAAATATATACTAAATGAAAAAATATACAAACAAGAATGTGCTTACTCGGTGACAGACACTGTCTTCAGTGCTTTCACACACATTATCTCATTTAATCCTTACAAGAACCCCATAAGCTAAGCAAGTTCTCTAGTTCTCAAGACACTGTGGGCCAGTAACCTGACCTCCGAGGCAGGGGTTTCACTTTTTCCTCCAAATGGGAAAGTGAGGCAGTGTTTTCCTTTTCTGCTCCACAGAAACCCTGCAGGGAGAGGTCTGGACGAGATGAAGGCCTAAGTGTTGCCAGGCTGCTCTCACCTCACCACTTTGGAGTCCTTGCAGGCAATGTGCAACTGGAACATGTCACGGCTCTCCACACTGTCAATCATCCGGAGGGGCACCTGTAGGCAAAGAGCAAACTGAAGCTCAGATGTCGACTCCACATCATTCATCAGCGCCCAGATGTTATTATAGCAATAGAAAAGTAGAAAAGAGATATCTACCAAAGGCCTGTTAAATGCCTGGTAACCGTGCTTAATTCTCTACATATGTGACCTCAATTATCAACCACAAGGACCCTGACAGGCAGTTGTTTTCACCCTGTAAGATTAATTAGAAAACTGAGCCTCAGATGACTCAACCAGGGTGACAGAGATGGTAAGTGGTATTCTTCCAATAAAATCTCTGTGCCCCTTAGAAGGGCCACCAAAAAAGTGAGAAAGAGAAAGAAACAGAATGGGAAAGATATCAACCTACATCTAGAACGAGACAGGAAAACAAAAGGTTAGTGAGAAAAAAGAAGGCAATTCCAACTTTTTGGAGACTTGATCAGACAGAACTCTGGAGCAATCCCACCTTGACCCTCACAGGGATTCTGGCTTGGAGGTGGAAGAATAAGATAGAAACTCACGTTGATGACCGAGTCCTTGAACTTGATATGCAGCCGGTAGTTGGAGATGGCAATCAGGGCATCAGCCGCCCGGCCCAGGAACTCCACTCCCTCACCCTGTAGCACTGTGAAGGGTACCTGCCAAGAGCAGAGGAACTCTCAGTCCGGAAGTAAGTTACTCTCCATTCTCTTCCCCACCCTGTGATCTGTGAGATCCCCTATGGAAAAGCTGAACCAAGACAGGAGAGAAGAGTCCTCTCCACGGTAACAGTGCCAGGCAACAACTGTACAGTAAAGCTGCTTTTCCTTCCCTGGGGCCAAAAGTTCCATAATGCTTACAGATAGACTCCCCTCCCTCCAGAGACCAGGGATCAGGAAGCCAAAACTCTGGTACCATGGCTCCCCTTGGAATACTTTTCTTGGGGGTGGGGAAAGAAGGAAGGGGTTTTTAAACCAGATAGGAAGCTCCACCCAGTAAGAGCCCCCAACTTCTCCTTACCTGCAGATTTTCCTCCTCTTTCACTAGTTCCTTGGGGGGAAATAGATCCTTGGCTTGGATGTACTCCAGGCTCGGGGGCCCCTCCTCACCCTGTGGGTAAGGCCTCAGGCATAAGTAACCAGGTTCCACTTGGCCCGTTTGCCCTCATTCTGCTTCCCCTTCCCAACCAGAAAGCCCATATACATCTCCTATACATTTATGAAAGTTCTGGTCAGGAGAAGAAAAAAGAGACCTGGCTTGGTGGGAGACAGGGCAAAATGGAGGGAGCACTCAAATATATTAAGCCTAAGTGAACAGTAAAGTCCAAAGAGGAACTAGGAATCTGTGTTCCTCAAAGAGGGAGTATCCTATAGAACCAAAATTTCCAAAATGGAGATAAAACAAAGGAAAAAGGAAGTACTGTCCCTGGAGAAAAGAAACTAGGTGTGACAGTTGGTTATAGAGACCAGAGGATAAGTAAGCACCTAAGGCCACCAAGGCTTAAATCTAGTGAATGAAAGAGACAAAGAGGAGTGGGTCGGGGGATTCAGTCCTTGCCTCTAGAGGGCCTTCACGGATGCTTTCAAAAGGAAATGTGTTTGGGGGCTGAGCTTTAGTCCAGTTAGGCTCAAGCTGCTAACAAGCCCCCACCACCTGCCAAGCAACCTGTCCTGCCTGCTGATCAGAGGGGAATTCCGGAGAAATACCCACAGCAAGCAGAAGTAACTCCCCTCCCAACCACCAGGGAAGGCAGAAGAGGGGATCCACGCGCTTGAGAGGAACTAGTAGACCCAAGGACAGCCAGGGGAGAGGAGAGGCCTGGCAGACACCCATGGGGGGTTGGGGGGGGAATGGGAACATCTGAGAGGACAGATGGGGGAAGCTGGGAAGAAGCATTAAGCCACAGGGGGAGGGGGGAGGACTGGGAATGATGCAGAGGTATGGAGCCCTGCAGAGGCAGGAAAGATGGAGAAATGAGGCTGTCTGGGGGACAGTCAAGGAGAAAAGAGTGGCGTGTCAGGTGAGAGATGAAATGGTGGAAGGGGGAGGGGACCGAAGCCAGGGAAACAGCTCAGAAACCCTGTCTACCCGACTAGACCCCTAACACCCCAGACGGCCGACTACACCCCACACCCCCAAGCAAGGATGCTGCGAGTAGAGCCAAGATGGAGAGTCGGAGGTAAAGGGATGTACCCCTGCAGGGCGGGGCCTGGATCTGCAGTCAAGGGCAGTGGCTACAGGGCCAAGATGGGTCACAGAATTTCCATCCCTGGCTTTCGACAATTCCCAGCACCCTAAATTAAAAGAAGTCCAAGAAAGAAAAGGAATAACCCCCTTCTCCTAACTGGGACCTTGGGAAGGGGGAGGGTTGAAATTCTGAATCTCAAGCGCTGGCCCTGGGCGGGGCCGCGGGTGCTGCAAGCGTAGGGGCCCCGAGGCCCCCGCAGGCGGGGCCGGCACTTACGAAGCAGCTGAGCATGGAGCAGGAAACGCGGGCGGTCAGGCTCATGGTCGCGGGCGGTCTGGGCCAGGGCACATGTCCCGGGAGCCGCTGCGCTGCCCGCCAGTCCAGAGCGCCCGCCGCATCCCGGCTGCGGGGACCCGCCAGGTGCAGCCGCGGCGGCCAGGAGGCGAGCGCGCTGGCGGCAGGGCCTCGGCGCGGATTCCGCGCGCCTCTCCCCTCCTTTCCACAATGGAGCGAGCCCTGCTCCGCCTTCCCGCACGATCGCGGAAGGGAGGGGAGCTCCGCTAGCTGAGGGCCTGGGATCGCTCGAGGTGGGGGGGGGGAGGCGGGGGGGGGCGGGGCAGCTCCTCTTAGCCCCGCCCACCGCCCTAGGCTCCTCCCTCCCTAGGGTCCCTGAGTCTTGTGAGACGGGTCCTCCCCCAGCGTCTAGGGGCTTTCGTGAGCCAAGGTTGTGGGACTGCCCTCCGACTGCGCAGGAGGGGACAGCAAGACCGCCTACATCTTTTCATTTCCCATTTCCCAGGTGAGCCACTCCTTCTAAGCCTATGCCCTCCCCCAAGCCCTGTTCTGAATTCCCAAGATGGAGTTCACCAAACCCTACCCCCACGCCTTTTCCAGTTTCAGGCTTCTTCCTTTCCCTCTACAAGCACCACCCACTACACCCTTGTTCATCAGTGTCTTCCAATACCCTGAACTCACTAAACTCCTTTTTGCCTCTTAGGATGGACCCCGTTTTGTGCCACGTCTCCCAGAAAGGGAATTTTTTTTTTTTTTTAATTCCAATCCCTGCCCAGCACTACTCTTTCAGCTCCATCTCTCATTTTACATCCTCTGATCTCTGACTAAGAAAGTTCTTATGGGAGAAAAGAATTTCTTAGTTTGGGAAGGAAAGAGTTGCAACTGTGGGCCACAGATGCTGTGCAAAAACAAAACTTGAAACTCCCCAGGACTACCCAGGGAATTGGGTGTAGGTCTGAAGAATAAGAAGTAGTGCTAAGAGGCTCAAAAAGCCACCAAGAAGCACCGAAGGAGTTGGCTGGAGTCCCATACTGTGACTGGTAACTTCCAGAAACCAGGGGTTTGGTTTGGTGGCAGGGAGGAATGGAAGAAAACGTTACAGACATCTTGTGTGAACCAGATGTGTTTCAAACATCACAGGATGCTCTTTCAGCAAAACCCAAACTAAACCTTATCCTCCTTTACCAGTGAAACTTCAGGCTTAGAAAGTATGCAGTTTACCTAAGGTATTTAAGCATTAGTTCTAAGATTTGAAATTAGACTAGGCTGACTCTGAAGCCCATGGTTTTTTCGGGGTACACAGACAACGATAAAGAGTTATTACCACTAGGTAGTGGCTAGGACCAGCAGACTTTCTGAAATGAGACCAGAACAGTACTTTACACCATATACCCACGTGTCTCTAGAAGGAAAGAGAGGAAGGAGAGTGTTCTCACTATCTGAATTCCTTAAGCTGTTTCTAACCATAAGGAACACCTGCATGAATGGAATAGATGCAGTCTGAGAAAGTACCTGGTTTGTGCCCAGGCCTGCCATCTGCACTAAATTCTCAACTCACTGCTTCCTCCTCCTACCTCTCAAAGGCTAAGGGATTCCCTGAAGGAAAGAGAAAAGGGCAATTACAATTAATAGAAAATACACAGGGTCCTTATACACCCCCACCTTCCTTCTACTAATATTCTGAGCCCATTGAGAGGACTATCCTGCTATATCCACTTAGATATCATCAACAAAACCTTCATGGACAGCAGCTCCTTGAAGCTGGAGAAGGCCCACTGAGTCACTTGATACAGCAAACACAATATTCGAGAAGCCCACTAAGAAGTACACGGATCTTGAAATAAAGGAGGTCAGACTTTTCAGACAAGAACTGAGAATACCAGAAAAGCAAGAGGAGAATCATTGTGAAGGGTCAAGAGAATCAGTAGTAGTGAGAGAAGGCATTATGGCACACGCAGAAGACTTCCAGAGGCTTTATGTTCCAGTGCTGTATGCTGACTGATGTTTTATAAAAAACAAAACAAAACAAAAAAAACCTTAATTTATGTGCAGGGCAGATGAACCTGTTTAGTAGCTGAGTTGTCTGGTGCACAAGGTCCAGGAATGGCAGAGCAGTTTCACAAAGAAAGACATGAGAATGACAGAAAACACAATGATTTGAGGGAGAAGAGTACTCACCATTCTACCGTGGTGAGGGTCCTGGCTGCCTGCTTCTCACTGTAAAGAGAGAGAAACATCAGAGTAAAAGAGTAACACTAACATCCATAGAGTCAGCAAATGTCACACACCTACTCCTGAACTTCTCTACACTGCTTATCCTCCTTCACAGAGAATCCAGCCTCTCCACATGTCACCATGCCAGAGAGAGGGAATGAGAGCTACGTGGAGAGAAAGCAACAAGTGATCCTGTAGGGCATGAAGTCAGCCATGTTCTGAAACAGGAATGAGAGTCAGCCAAGATTACCCAGCAGCACTCAGTAGCCCTGAAGGAGACTTAGAAGGAGAAGAACACTACAAATCCTATTCTTTGTGGAGAGCAAAAGAACTGCCAGCTCTGAAGAAACAGAATGCCCAACCAGGACTCACTTCTGGCCTTCATGGGGCCATGAATCCACAGGAATGCTCTCTAAAAGTCTAAGTCTGCACCCACCTGACCTGTTTACTGGGGGCAGAGTCCAGAGCAGAGGACAAGAGGGAGGGGACCACAACCTGTGATCAGAAGGCAGCAAAGCTGGACAGGTCCTGCTGAGTGTACTTGACACCCCGTTGGGTGGAGATTAGTGGGAGGAAGCTACACAACAGAGATAGAATCAGGCCAGCCCAGGTCTTGGCGTCAGTATCTGTCAAATGGACGCAAGCCACAGAAATTTCAGGATGGGCCTCCTTGGCCCACTTTGAAAGCCACTTAAGGCAGTCAGGCCCAGGTTTCATTGACACTTCCTTTTATGTCTGCTGCTCGGGCTCCGGGGCAATTCAGTGAAGTCCCACGGAAAGCTGTGAGAGTAAACGCTTCCATCTGGGGTCCTGCCGACCTCCCGATCACAGCCCACCCTCTCTCTCGGGAAACCGGCATGCGGCAAGCCAGAGGTGCTGCCTCACCTCCCACTGGCACACAGTCTCAGGGAAATCGAGGGAGGGAGCGAAAAAGGTAAGGACCAGGCCCCGGAGGCCCACGGTTCCCAGACCTAGGGAATCGGGCCCCACAGGTAAGGGAAGGGGGGCGGGATAGGATGGCAGGGGAGCCCAGGTTCTAGGGGCGGAGCCTAGAGGCTCGAAGGCGGGGCCCCGAATGACAGAGGGCGGGGCTCACGAAAGTCGGTGGGGTCGGGGCGGGGCCGGGCAAGACGCTGTCGGTGCGGTTCCTAGACTGGCAGTGCACGGGGCATGGTGACTCACCCAGGCGGCGTCCGAGGCCCGACCCTCCGAGGCCGAGCTCTCACCACTTCCGTCTCCCGCAGCTGCCGAGGCCGCGCAGCTTCGACCCCACCACGGTGCCCCTCTCCCCAACCAATCGGGTCTCAGTTCTGCGCCCGCCCTGGCCAATAGCCACACCAAGTCCCGCCCTGCCCCCACCACGCAGCCGCCGCCCTCACTGTTCACAACGCTCATTGGTCAAGTTGGGCAGACGCCCTCCCAGCCTTTAGCCTATCGGGTGCCAGGAGACGACACTGTAACTGGAGAGAGGAGGTGCGGCGCCGGAGAAAAGATGCGGCCAATGGGAAATCACAGCGCGTCCCTGCGACAGCCAATGGTGAAATGCAAAAGAGGAGCTGCTGATTAAGGCTCCAGGGGCCGGAAGTTAGGGCGACCGGTCGCCTACTGGTAGCGCAATTGGAGGCGGGGCCTAGCGGGGCACAGGCCTCACAGTCACTTCCGGTGACGACCGGGCGTTAGGGCTACTCCCCGGTATCAACGCGGCTCATCCATTTTCCCGTTTGCTTAGCCGCAGCCTTCCAGTCCCCAAGTCAGAATAAGATAAAAGACCCAGTGAGAGCTGGGAGAAGCGGGGATGAGGTCTTCCATTGGTGGCGTTCGGGTTTTCCCCTCTTTACGCCTAGATGGATTCCGCCAACCCTGTCTTTTCATCGGTGAACCGACCCTGCAGACCTGCTTGACCCGTGCGGAGCCCTCAGCCCTAAAGATCTCCTACCTGAGAAAAGAAAACCTGGATTAGATACTGGCTTTTCCTAGGCTCTCAAGGGAGTAAGGAATGGGACTTTCTGGGGGACCCGCCTCTCTGCCCCTCCCCTCCTCTCCCGGCTCGAGAGTCAAAGCAGGCAGCAGGTTGAGGGGTAGCCGCTGGGGGGCGCCTTGGCTCCGCGATATCACATGATAAAAATGGTGACCGATTAATTCAGGTTCTCTACCCTTAGCCTGAGTTTGGGAGTGGGGAGTGGACCGGGATGTTTTAACACCATGCCCAGCGCTAGAGTGTCTTCCGTATCTGTTAACAGAGGACTGAAAGTTTTGCCACGGTAAGGTCTAGGAAGGCAGGAACCTTGCCTGTATTCACTTTTAACTCAAGCCTAGAACCTAGTAGATGTTTAATATTTGTGAAGTGAATGTTGAACTCCAAGACAACTGTTGAACTGTTCACCCCCAACATTTACTATAGTGTTTGGTAGTTACAGGGACTATTTGTTCAGTGCTCTTATCACAGGTTTTCTAGAGTGAAGAGTAATTCTGCACATCCATTTCCCCAACTCAGGGAAAACAGGAAGTCAGGAGGCTGCATACAGTTAACATCATGTTTTCCCAAAGTAGATATCAGGTCCAAAGTGCTATAGAGTTAAAAAAGTATTGTATGTGGGAAAGATGAAGAGATTCAGGTCTAGGTAATACAGGCAGGATTAATCAGTTGAGATGGAGAGGACAGACTAGATTTGAGTGAGGGACCGAACCCTGTCATGGAAGAAACTTTCCCCCCCACTCTTCTCTACTAAAACCCAGAAACCAGCACCCTCCTTCAGCAGCCTTTTAAAACTGGGTCCTATGATGTTCTTGGTCTCCAGGAGATGGTAAAGATACAGTGACACCAGAAGCCACCTATATATTTGTTAGACTTTATTTCCTCTGAGTCTCTGGGGAGGCAGCAGGGATGTAAGGCGAAGTGGCAGTAGCTACTGGGGCCTGAGCAGAGCTGGTGCTGGGAGGGCCGGCATGGGCAGATGAACAAAATATTTAAATATCCAAGGCTGAAAGCCAGCTAATGGGTCTCCTTCATCTGTCTTTGGATTTTGTGTAGCATCTCCTGCATCCGCCGCAACTGGAACAGGCACATGTGTTAAAATAGGGCCTTTCTGTAAGTCCTATAATGTTAAGGAAGTGCCCCCAAGCTTTAATCCCTTGAGAAGAGCCTTGGTAGCCCTAAGGTTCACATGATGGAGACCCTGGGTAGAACCAATTATCCACCAAAGGGCCTATATATGCACCAGGGCCAAGGGGCTTCCTATTCCCAAATCAGGAGATACTGAGGATGATCAAACACGGGTCTTCTAGACTGTAAACCCTACTACCCCCCTACTGCTCTCACCTCCTCATCTTTCTCTCGGATCAGCCTCTCGGTTTCTGGATCTGTCCCTGGTGGGACAGCAGGAATAGGGAAGTCGGTACCACTCTCTCGAGTCAGTTTGCTGAGGGAAAGGGGGAAGGGGGGTAGTAAGGCTAGGGGGACCCCAGCACCTGCTTGGTTTGAGGCCAGAGCCTACAGAAGAACAAAGGAAGGGCTTGGTCTCACCCCAGGCTGTGCTTGGGATTCCCCCCACTGCCAGCTCTCTCCTGGCTTCTGACCATACTTGCGATTCCGTTCCTTCACCACCAGGCGGGTCATGCTCTGGATGCACTGTGCCCGGTAGTTCTCATAATGTGTCTCCCGAGTCACATCCTTCAGGTCCTGCATGTGGGTACGCACCAGCATTGTCCTCAGCTTCACGAAGTCGCAGTGCCCTGGGTTTTCCACTGCATAGCAAGGCTAGGAATCAGCCAGGGGCACAGGTAGGGAGAGTCACTGAGGGCTACAAGATATGCCAGTCAGAGCTCAGTGCTTTACCTTCCACGATGCCCCATGGGTAGAGCCGGCCCCGAACTCGCCGCCCTCTGGCCTCCACCACAGTGTTGCTGCCAATTACAGCAAATGGGATGCTTTCCTGGAAGAAGTTAGGGGTGCCCATTCTCACCTGTTCCTTTCTACCTGTATTTTAATCTCTGCTGCAATCTAAGAGGCCAGACTCTTCTCCACCCCATAGTCCAGCCTCTAGGAGAACACTACTTCCCTCTTCTGCCCGGGAGAAACAAGACAGGAAAGGGATGCCCTCGGGTGGCCCCACCTTTAGGGCTTGGTCCTGTAATTTGAAGTCCTCATCCTCATCAGAGTCACAGTCTGGGAACTGGTAGACCTTGATTCCAAAGTGCTCAATCTCCTCCCGGATCTGGCAAACACATGAGGGGCCCACAGTTCTGGGGACCCCATCCTTTCCAGAAGCCCATCTGCTCCCTTCCCTCCCTTCCCACTATTAGCTTCCCTCACTTTGCGTTTCTTGCGTTCCACTTCAGGAGGTGTCAGTGTGTCCGCCTTAGCCAAGATAGGCACGATGTTGACCCGCTGATGCAGGGCCTTCATGAATTCAACATCCAAGGGCCGGAGCCTGGGGAACGGGAATCTGTGACCATGGGCGAGTGGCAGCCTACCCCTGATGCTCTCGGCCTGCTCCCTTGGCAGCACCAGTGGTGTCAGGGCCTCAGGCTCAGACCATACCCATGGCCGAAGGGCGAGATGAAGTACAGGCAGCAGTGCACCCTGTTGTCTTGGATGTTCTTGCGGTTTAGGCCACTCTCATCTCGGAAATACTGCTCAAACTGCTCATCGATGTATTCTGCTACAGGCCTCCAGCTGGAACAGGGACAGACAAGCAGAGACATTGGGAGTGGGGTCTGTCTGGTGAGCTCTGGGATGGCAGAGAAGTAGCCCATACCCTGAGCAGTGTTTTCAAGACACTGTTATCCCACAACTTGCTTACTCCATCATCAGCGGGGGACAGGGGTGCCTTGATAAAAGCCAGACTTCGTTTGATGAACAGAAAAGGGCCAGTGACGAAACAAAGCAAGATGTAACAAAGTGCAGGTGAACATCTTGGAAGCCAGGGCAGCCGTGTCAAGTTCACAACCTTCACTTGGTTCCACCCTCTCCAAACCCACTCCCATCCTTCAGGCTATAGTCAAGGACCATCTCTTCCACAAAGTCTCCTTTGACTACACCAGTACCTACTGCTCACCCTCCTTTCTCTTCACCACACAGTCAGGTAGGTGGTAGGTAGGCAGATAAATGCATGAGACAGATTTGAAAACTGAGATTCTTATTTATAGCTTGAACATACGTACGTGTATATACATTTTTTAAATTATTTTAATCTTGGTGCCCTGATAGTTGGACATTATGAGCATCACCACTCATTTTATAGATGAAAAACCTAAATCCAGAGCAGCTGTAACTTAATCCAGATCAATTTGGCCACCTGAAGCCATATGATTCCTAGCTCTGTATTTGCCACTATGCTGCCTCATCCTTTTACTAACTTGTTACCTAACTGACACAAATGTCAAAAAAGAGCTGTCCCCCAACCCCCTACCCCACCAGCACTAGACAATAAGCCTCTGGGGAACAAAAATCATTCAAACTTGTTCTGCAGCCCTTAAAATACCATAACGTGTTCATTAGATTTTTGCCGATTGATTAAATGAGTTTCTATGAGAGCACACTGTAAGCTATGAGGTGCCAGACAAATGAAAGTATGGTGATTGTGAAGATAAGAGCAGGCAAGTAAACAGACAGAAAGGGGCAGGGGAGGGGTAATTGCCACAGTGGAACCAGGTGCTGGTTGGTCTAGAGTTTCAGGAGAAGCCCAGTTTGCTGAGACATATTCCCAGAGCAGGAAGGGTGATGATGACATGGAGCCTACCTCGATCCATCAGGAATATTAATGAGGACCAATGTAGTAGCCCAATGCAGGGGCAAGAATGTAAGAGACGCCCTCCCGTATCTCTTAAGACCCAAGCCTTAAGACTATAAAGATGAACCATATGCTGAGCTAAAAGTCACATGTTGTATGATAAACATGTGATGGGGGTTCAGAGCACAGAAAGGGATGCAAGGGTCTAATGTGAAGCAGTTACCAGGGTAGGCTTGATGGGCGTGCCACCGGTATAGGGCTCTACACTCAGGGTCTTTGCTGTGACTGTCTTAAAATTCTTAATAATTTTAAATAGGGGGTTTCCCCATTTTTATTATGCATTATCCTGTGGTTCTTAAAACTTGTAAGTGTAATGCAAACAGTCTTTCCAGTTTTCTATGTACATCTACCCAAATCATACTGGATGATTTTCAGATCAACCCAGTGAAGTGGTAAGAGCTGGTATTTTTCAACTGAAGAAATAACAATCATTTGCTCAAGATCACGAAGCTACTGACTACTAGCCAAGGTTTGAATCCTCAGTCTAGGACTTTTCAGCACTACTCTACCTAACTTTTCTCCTGTCTTTATCATCTATTCTCCTCCTAGTCTACTCAACTTAGATCTGGCCATTCTCTAAATATCCTCCAGTTTCTGGAGGGAAAGAGTCAGGGTTGGCAAAGCCACCTTTTCTTTTCTGCTGTCCCTGGAGCTTAAGCAAAACCCTTTTTCCCTTTGTTGTTTCTTTTTTCCTCTTCATTCCTCCTGCCATGTACTCATACCCCACTTAATAAGATACTCCTAAAATGTTTCAGGTGAAAGGAAGGAGAGAAGGTGACATTTATTGCCCACCTACTGTGGTATACATTTTCATGTTCCCCTTTTGATGTACCCTTTATTCTTATCTGTCTCCTCATCCCCATTAAAGAATTATAGGTCAGAGCCAGAAGGAACAGTACAGATTGTCTGTTTCACCTATTCCAATGCTTTCCCTCTCACTTTACAGTGGAAACAGCTGTCCAGTAAGGGAGACAAACTAAAGGTCACAAATCTCTTCCTCCTGACAATTCTGGAAGTATCTGCACCTATGTGTGCATCTGTGTATGGAAGGGGAGAAGGTGGGAGGGCCGAGGCTGTGCTTGGGCAGACATACCACTCTGTGTTGTTGACTGCATCCCCAAAACCTGGTGTGTCCACAATGGTGAGCCGGAGTCTCACGCCCTTCTCTTCTATGTCCACTGCATGTTTAGTGATCTCCACCGTTTGTGTGATCCGCTCTAAAGAAGGGGGAAACTGAGGCCAGGGCCAGGGCGAGAATCTGCCCAGTCAGGACAAACCATCCACCCTAACTAGCTTTGCTGCCCAGACTGCCTCACTCATCCACACTGCCCCCCCCACCCCTTCTCACCCTCAAGCTGCTGGGGGGGCCTGTTCTCTGGGAACTAGCAAGGAGTACATTTCCCAACACAGGAAATGCCGGTGGCTGTTGGCTCTGGCCCCAGCCTCTTCTCTGCTCTCGGCTCTTTTCTTGGATTCCTGAAATCCTTTGGGGGTCAGAGACTCACTCAGAGAGTGGGATTCTTGGTCCCTGCCCTGCTTCAGCACCCAAATCTTTAGGGAGCTGGCTGGTGGGCTGCCAGGCCAGATAGGCGTATGGAGAGATGCTGTCTGTCTAGGAAGCCATAGTTTCCTAAATACTGGGCAGTCCACACTCCCAGACTCTGAAAAGAGTTTGATTTCAAATCAAGTCTGCCTGCCTTCCCTCTTGTTCCTCTCCTTTCCTTACCTTCAGCACTGAGGAGTTTCCGGTCTCGGTACAGATCAGTGAGGAAGAGGCTGTTGACAAGGGTTGATTTCCCCAGGCCAGATTCTCCTGACAAGGGAGAAAGGACAGAGGCACTGAATCAGAACATACAATCTATAGTCCAGCAGCAACTCCACTAGACCAAGGTGGGCAGGGTGAGCTGGGCTGAGGGAGCTGCTTTCTTATCTAGTTGGAAAAAGATTAACCAAACACTTAGAGCTGGAAGGAAACACAGAGAACAGTTTATCCAGCCGTGTCATTTGAATGAGGCTCACAGAGTGTAAAAGATTGTCTGGGGTCACAAAGGGAAATACTAGAAAAGTACTGGTCAAGTGTTTTTTGCACAACTTCATTACCCTACATATGTAAACATTAAGACAACAAATGGCTCCTGGTTATTCTGCAAAAAGGCACAGCCACTTGTTGCTTTTTCCTCCCCAAACCATACACCCTTCTCCCAACCACATTCTCTCCACATAAAACACCTCCTATCCAGCCCAGCCCCATCCTGCCCGTTGTACCTGCCACCATGAGGGTGAAGTCAAAGCCTTTCTTCACGGACTTTCGGTGGACTTGATTGGGGAGAGTCGCAAAGCCCACGTACTCCTTGTCATCCTAGTGGATGAGAGGCAGAGTGCAGCAGGGTGAGAGGGTGGTCTCAGGACTCAGCAGCAGCTTCTCCCTCCCTCCTAGTCCTTGTCCCAGTCTTATAGCTGCAGTGCATAACTCCTTTGAGGTTCCCTCTGCCACCAGCGGGGCTCAGGCCCCTGCTGATGTAACATCAGTGTCTAATGTACCTGGGGACTGACACAGTACACACAAACACACACACCCCACTCAGGCTCTCTGTTCCCTCCCTGGGTCTTCTTGCACAAGTCCACTGAAGGGTAAAGGCAGAACTGAGGCTCTACCTCAGAGGAGTCATAAGGATCGAGTTTGCCCCATGGACTTCGGGGCCGGGCTGAAGGGCTGAGAGGGGCTGGGGCAGAGAAGTTCTGCTGGTTGTCAGAGGACTGGGGCCAGGAGGGGGGTCTGAACTCCAGGTCATCCTGGCAGAGGTCCGGGGTCTGGGGCCTTGGTTCCAGGATTTGGGGTCTGGACTCCCAGGTCTTGGCCTCTGGTTGGTGGCAGCTCTCGTTTCCTGGGAAATCCTTCACAAACTTGTTCAGTTCTGCATCATCGGTGTCCTCCAGGAAGTGATCGATCTGGGGGTTGGGGATTCGGGGAGTGTATGGGTAGGTGGGTGGAAGAAAAAGGAGGAAGACAGGAAAAGGCAGGAGGGAGAGAGAGGAAAGCACTTGTGGTTAGAAAGGAAAGAAACTGCACTAGCAGCCAAGCTGGAGCAAGTGTTCACCATCCCTCCCTCACCTACTCACTAGCCTCCTCAGTTCCAGATGCCAGGAGAGACCTCAGCATCCAGGAGCAGCCCTAAGCAGCCCCTAAAGTTCTGGCAACTGCTCTTGGGAGCTGAGTAGTTCCAGTCCAGATACTCCCTCTCTAAAGGGGGCTTGTTGAGACTGTCCTATCTGGGGGCCTGGTCAAGCTAACTGGAGACTGCCCCAAAAGCCAGCAAGCCAGACTGAGTGAGGGGGAGCAGACAGGCATTAGAGTTGAAAGGAGAAAGTGGCTCAGGCATCAGGGAGAGTCAGAATGGGGTAAGGGCTGGAGGGAAGTTGAGGGAGAAAGGGAGTGCCAGATCCAGGTAAATCAAGAGCTAGCAGGGGCTCTTTGCCACCAGTCACTGGGTTAGTAAGCTGCGGGACTAAGGAGCAGCTTCTGCTGGGAGTGCCCACTACCCAAAGCTCAGTATACCTGACTCCCACTAATCCCAGACACTGAGCCACACCAGAGCCAGACTCTGGGTCTCAGGAGAGGAAGGTAAACCTGCCTGTATTTGCTGAGACTGGGTAGAAGGGAGCTGAGAGGAGCCAGGTAAGGGAGGATGGAGGTACGTTGGCTCTGGAAGAGTTCAGGGAGGCTTGAAGGAAGGATGACTGGGCCCCCAACTGTGAGGGACAGAGGGAAGGACCCTTCAGCAGCACCTTGCCTGAAACTAGCCTTCAGGCAGCAGTGCAGAGGGGGTCTGGCCTGAACAGGGAGTAGGAGACAGAATTCTTGGCTCCTCTGTAAAGAACTATTCCACCCTAATTCTAGTGTAGAAGAGAGGCCGCTCACCCCTGGCTCTAAACCCTAAAGCTTCTTCGCTCCTCAGGGGCCAGCCTTCTTTGTGGAGTGCCTGGCAGTGCTGGGCTCAGCTCTGCCTTACAATACCCACGTGCCACCCCAGACAATGGACAAGGCCCAGCATCATAGCTGACTCGCCCTCTGGGCATTGGTGGGGTGGCGGCTACTCCAGACCCGTGCAGAATCCCAGCAACAATGAAGAGAGATAAGATGGCCAATGTCTCCTAGCAGGTGCCTATTTTTTGCAGGACTAGCACATTGCCAGGTTTCTGCCAGAGAGGAGGGATTGAGAGCTGTCAAGTTGGGCCCTCCCTGGTGTGCAACAGATTAAAGCACAGCACTATGAAGCTACCACAGCCACTGTAGCACAAATTAGATTCCCTGACCCACCCCTTGTTCTCTTCAGCAGTGTATTTCAGTACATCTGCCTGTTCTGTTCCCCATTCTGTCTCTGGTGAATCTTCTCAACCTCCCGTACCTCTGGCCTGTACCCCAGCTCTGTATGCATACATAAATAAATCTTTTTTTAAAAGTTACAAAGAGAAAGAGCTGTCAAGACCTCACACCTGCTTATAACCATGGTCTCCAGGGCTCATCTGGATACAGCACAGCAAAGAAAGCTCTTTAGCCTGAAACTAGAACCAGTATGTGCAGACTTAGTGACCAGACACTGTCCTGAGGCATGTCTGACCTATGAGACTTCTCACACCTATTTGTGGGGTCCAGAAGGGTGATCATAAACCCAATTTATGTTTGTTGTCCTAGTATAACGACTGTGTCCTTTTCACTCTCAAGTACCCTAGCTTGGATGATTGTGTCAATAGAGAAGGGATGAAGCTGGAGGGGTGGAGATAACAGGTCTTGTTTTCTGGTAGCTAAAGAGTCTGGCAATTCCAGGAAATCCTGCCTCTCTGCACAACCCCACAGTGCCCCAGCACTGATCTGGGGTCAGGCTAAATGTAGGAGAGAGAAGACTGCTCTGGCTGGTTTCCCCCATGGACACTAAGCAGAGGTTCAGCAAGACAAAAAGCAGAGGTGGGACCCCGAGTTCCCACCATCTCCCAGCAGAGCAACTAGGAACCCAGCACCATTCTCTCTGCCTACCCCAGCTGCTCACAGCATGGAGGGAGTTACAGGGGTTCTAGACAAAAAGTCAGGAAGCCAGGGTTCTCACCTCCTATCTGTCCCATCCTGGTCCCTAGCTGGGCCAGTGACCAAGTAATTTTCTGACTTTGAGCCCTGATCCCAGCCAAGGCAGGGGGAAGACCCACCTCCCAGAGCAGACCTTACCCCGACTTGGGTCCTGTCCTCAGGGACAGAACTGCCTTCCAGTCCCAGTGGATGGTCCATGTCCCAAGCTTCAGACTCCCTTCGGCAAGCCCTAGGTCTAATTTTATCTCTCAATGTCCTCACATACAGAAACAGCCTCGTCTCGATGCTCTTGTTGTGATCGGCTTCCTGGATTGCTCTTTTCCCTTTCTCTCTGACCCCTGTCTCTGTCAGGGGCCAAAAAAGCCTGTGGAATGTCCTTCCCTACCCTCTCCCCCCTCCCCTGGCTCCCACCATCCAAGGACAGCTCAGCTGCAACAGGATCACTGGTTTCTCTGCAGTCCCCTCCTCCTCTGATTGGCTGCCCCGTGCAGCTGCCTGCCGCCTACCCTGGTGGGCACAGCACCAACCTCCTGTCTGTCTGCAGCACAGGCTCTTCATCCACTCAGTCTTTTCTATTAACTCCCAAGGACACTGAGGTCTAAGAGTTGTGGGCTATCCCCAAGGTGACCTGGCCTATGAGTATATGGTGACAATCACCCAGAAGACACCACTCTTTCACCTTAGAAGACTCCCATCTTTTTCATCTTAACTTTAAGCAGTGCTGAAGAATGGTGGGTTGTCTTCTAATCCCCTGGGAAAGGCTGTCACCTTTTCCAAAGCAGAGGACCCCACTGTCTTCATAACCCTACACATAGATTTATCTGCAAAGAGCCCAGAGAAACAGTCGGCTTTGCTCAGGTTATACCTGGCCTCTGACTCATGGGGACCTGTATCACTTCCATCACCCCACTACTCCCAGATAGTCAGCGGGGAGCAGCTAAGACTTGGTCTCTGAAGGCAACTGTTCAGGACAATGGAAGGTTGACATCTCAGAGGCTCCCATTAGGGGCCAGACAAATTGAGGGGTCTGGCTGTGAGTATGCAATAGAGCACTTGACTGGGAGTCAGAGGCTGGTGTTTCTGGTTTGGCCAGAAACACCCTTTGTGGTTGTGAATAGTATCTTAATTTCAGCGCCTAAAGTTCATTCATGATGGCCTTGCATCCCAAGAAGGCTGAGGAGAGAAAGCCTCCAGATGACATACTTCAAGCTGCTTTGAGTCTAAGGAGAAATGGTGCATCTTAAGCTACAGGATGGTTGTTGGCCTGTCATTCTTTTCCCATGCAAATTAACACCACTCCCCTCACCCCCAACTCCTGGGCTGGGGAGCTCTCCCACTGATCTCCAAAGAGCTGGGATACTGCAGCTAGAGGCTGAGGACTCTGGTGGTGTTGGGGTGTCTTTCACTAGAAAGGAACAGGGTGGCCTTAGCCAAGTTGAAAGCACCAAGACCTCAGCTGAACCCAACTTAGTGTGTGGCAGAAAAAGCCCCTCTTGGTCCCTGCTGGGCTTGGCACTAAAGAAAATCAGTACCCCCCAAGTCCCCAGGCTTCCATCCCTGGAACAGTCTGTCCATCCCCATGTGGTGTCAGGAGGGAGGCAGAAATAGAGGCAGGCATCACTTGGCCTCTCCTAGGAATCCCCCTTTGTGGAAGGTCCAGGGTCACCAAGACTTCCTGGCCAAGACTTGGGTTTCTGCCTGGTCACAGCTTGAGAGACAAGAGCCCAAAAATTTGGCCTTTTCAGACCTGGAAGCTTCTGATTCCACGGGGCCCAGGGGGCTCCCTTCTGGAAGCTGCCCACAGCCAACATCCTGCCCCACAGGCTGGTCACAGATCTGCTGTAAACAGCCTGTACTTCCCAATGCAGAAGTCAAAGACCAGGGGGCTTCTAGCCTGGGAGGAGAGGCTGGCGTGGGGCCCAGAGACCCTGACACAAGCACAATGTTTTTGTAGCAAGCTCTGGCAGCAACGGCAGAAGTGGCATCCTCGTCACCAAACATCAAAACTTCCTACATGGGGTCCTCCAGGAAGACTAGCTGCTGCCTGAGGATACTGTTTCTCCTTCCACTGCAGGCAGGTGGCAGGAATGAGTTCCCCCCACCCCCACCACTGCAGAGGGACCTGGGGGGGGGGGGGGCCAGGGGGGGGGGGGAGACAGGGGGGCGGGGAGAATATTGGATGCAGCAGAAGGACTGCTTCCCTGTGCTTCCTGCCTCAAAGGCAGAAGGATCTAGTGGGCAGGATGATGGGCTTGGCTTCCTTCAATCAGGGGTCCCTGGGCAGAGGGCACTGTGGGCAGGGCTCGGGGGTTCCACTTGCCAGGCAGTGGGAAGGAGGCCCAAGCCTGTCATCCCGCTTGGAGAGGCAGGCGGTCTTCGTGGGCCTCCTCTGTGTATTTTCCAAAGGAAGTTGTTGGCTCCCAAACCCCAGGCTGATGGACTAGGAGGGGCCACCCAGGTCATCCCCGACCCAATCAAGGGCGGGACCCTTCACCTCTGCACGTCGCTGACGCGCGCCCCCCTGCACACCATGCCTGTCTCTCGACTAGAAGGGGCGCCACCCCCTTCCCCCCAGTCAACACGGACCCATCCTTCAGTCCAAGAACGCGGACAGCACCCCCGGGGTCGCCGCGGAGGGAGAAGCAGGAGGAGAAACTTGGGAGCGGCGACGCCGCGCCGCCCGGCAGCAGTGCCTGCCTATGCCCGCGGCCGGCGACAGCGTCTCCCGACCCGCACGG